GGCCACCCGCAGGGGCCAGCAGCCGCCCGGGGGGCCGTTAGGAGGGGCACCTGGTGCAGCCGCACTTAACCACCTTCTCCACGTCGTCCACGAAGGAGGAGCCGTCGGTGCACTGGAAGGAGTATTTCCGCCGCTTGCTCCTCAGGGGCCCGCAGCACTGGCCGGCCGAGCAGGTGCCTCTGCACTCCAGCCGGGACACCTTCTTGGTCGTCTGGCAAGCAGCGTAGCCCTGCTGCTTTTGGTAATAATCCCTTATCCGCTCCCCCTGGCAGGAGACTTCTAGGAAGAACACAGAGCACAAGCACGTAAGGATGGTGGCTCCAAGCCCTGCGGAGCCAGCGAGAAGCCCCCGGAGTCGGATTCTGCCCCCTGCTCCCAGCGGCCATTGTCCTGTGATGCTTACGGGACCTATACGGACTGGCGGACAGTCTGCTGCTTGTTGGAAAAATGCTTCTTTTCGGCCTTTCTTTGCAGCAGAGTGAAAACTATCAATGTGAACTATAAATACTCTGGCCATTGGGCTGACAAGAAAATTGGATTCCTAAATCTTTTCCTTTATGGCAAAAATACGCATCTTCTGTTCTTACGCTCCCAGCAGCTGGATCTGTTTACCGCGGGGAGATGTTTCAGAGAGTATGTGATTTAATTTATTAGACCCGGGGTTTAGTATCATTCAGTCTGTTACTTAATATGAGTAACATTCCACTAACTTCATAAATTACCCTGGTAGGAACTAGTTCAGAAAGAGCCATCTGCGAAAAGCTTCCATGGGCACGTTCCCTTGTCTCGCCCCTCTGACACACTCAACCAAATCCGGGCGAGCCAGAGGCCAAGGGCGTGCTGGCCACGCAGACTCTGGAGGCGGGTGGGCCAGCACGTCGGCCGGTCCCATCCCTCTCACCCGCACAACGTGCCAGGACCAGTCGGTCTGATTCTAGGGTCAGCGGGGACTTGACCCTCAAGCTAGAGCTGAACTACGAGCTCCCTCTTCTCTGTGCCAGAGATGAGTTAACGTATTTGGGTGAGAGCCTCAGGTAAAGGAAGAAAGGAGTAAAGGTAAGTGTACTTCTACATAAGGTAGAAGGGAGTGTTTCCGCAGCAAATCGACGCGTGAGCAGACACCCGAAGGTGGGTACAACCTTGCAGCGGACGTTAGGACAGCTGCCATCTGCTGCCCTCGTAACACCGGGAAATAAATCCGCAGCAGCAACTGCGAGTCCCGCGAAGCCCTGGCATTCCTCCTCCCGCTCCCCTCTCCCTGGCTCTTTCCCATTCTGCCTCCCTTTCTCTCTCTCTTCTCACAGGAGGCCCTCTTGCTTTTCTAAGACAGGGAGGGGCTGAGCCAGCTGGCTTACCTCGGTCACAGCTGTCCCCAGTGTACCCACTGCTGCATTCGCAGTAGGGCTGCCCCAGGCCTGAGAGCCTGCAATTCCCATGCTTGCACTTGATGGCCTGGCAGGGGTTAAACAGGTCCTCCTCTTCGTCACAGAGGACACCCCCATGGCCCTCCAGGCACTTACAGCTGTAGGAGAAGGCGTTGATGGGCAGGCAGGTGCCATACATGCATCTGCAGAGAGGGGGGAGCAGGAATGAAAATGCGTTAGCGGAGAGGAGGGCAGAGGGAGGGTGAGGGAAGAGACGGGAAGGAGACAGTTTAAGGGGCTGACTTTCTGGCACCT